AGAACAATCATTGAAATATCGCTCATTTGGAAAATTTGTAATATTGTTCGATGATTGAATTTACCGGTAAACACACATGATGTCCACGCCGAATGGATCCGCGTCGACGATTATATAAACCGGAAGTTCCAATTTCTCGGACAGCAGTTTGACGAGCATCCTCGTTGCAACATCCGGATATCCTTTCCCCGTGATCAAGATGCAATTCAGAGAGGAGGTGCAATCGTCCTCTAACAATTTTTGAAAGACAGCATCCTTCTCGACGATCAACACCAATTTGGCCCTGCTTCGAGCGGAAATTACATAGTTTGAGGCTAGGTGAGGGATCAATGCACCCCCTGGCACGGTGCAATCGATAATTCGATCGTCAGCCAGCGCAAGGGTTAATTCACCTGCCACCAGTCCCTTCGACGTTGGCAACAAATCTAAGTGATCGATTTTTCAAGCAGAAAATGTATTTGCGAAGAGAAATATAAAAAAAAAAGAAAAATTGTGGAAGTCAAATTGAGGAACGAAAATGAAACTTGGTATTATTCGAAATTGAATTTTTTTTAAAAGGGGAGAGACTCACTGAGCTCCCATGGCGCGCAATTAAGCAAATTAGCAACGTGATGCACCGCTTGGTCCAAGCATCTTTGCTCTGGAACTAAATTCGAGGTCCTCTCGTTTTTCAGGTCGTAATAAAGGGACCGTCTCGTGAGGGTTGTGTTTGTAATTAGCAAACGATGCGCTGTGGCCATCACCGTCATCATTAAAGCAAACTTGTCTTTGCCTCTTTTGCTGGCAAAGTCTTGCGTCACTCTTCTCGTTCCCTTTCTTTCGGTTTCTTCGGTGTTTCGTTCAGGTTCTTCGTAAAATTGTGATTCGGGATCGTTCTCGATCATTTCAACCTCTGCTCGACCGTAATTTCGTGGTTGGGAGTATGAAATTTGCGGTAGACGACCCGAAGATATTTGTTCGATTATGGTTAAAGTTAAATGTTCGATACGCGTTATTAATTGCTTCCTAGATAATGTAAATATATCAAAAACGATAAATATTTCTTTAATTCTTGAAAAGATTTATAATTTTAATTCGATTGATTAAAATATATCGTTTCAGAATTCGTTTTTTTTTCACCTTAATTCTGTATTATTTATCACAGGTAAATCGATTTTCTTTTCCTCAACGTTTTCTAATTGATTGATAACGTGATTGGATATTCCCATTCTCCGTGTGTTTCTATTCATTTTTCACACTTTGTCTGTAATTAATAATTTAATGCTATATTTTGTTTTCGATAATGATATGCAAAAAGTTTGAATACTTTTTGAAAAGAAAATAATTATAATCGTTATTCATCTATATAAAATGGAACATCCATACGAGGGAATAGATGTGTCGTAAGTATATTTAATATATATTTCTGTATTTTTATGTCGTATATATATTTTATACTGTACGTGTATTTTTCAGAGTGGCCATCTAACTTTAACACGTGGAATATTTCGTTTGGTTTTGATAATATTAAAAAATGTTTTAGATAAAAGTTGAATGATTTTCAGAAGGGTATATTCTAGTCTTACTAATTTTAGCGTAAGTGAATGCACAAAGATAATATAAAAATCAACTTTGTCTTTTTAAATAGGATTATATATTTTTTGATACATTGGTAGATGCAGTGTATTTCTATAAAAAAACTATTAGATCACTTATAGGAAAAAATCTCTAGTTTATTCGATAATCAGAAATAATCAAATATTTTTTAAACTTATAACTTTTTGCTATAAGTGGTCTGGTAGTTTTCTATAGAGAATATTGAATTGCATCGAAAAATGCATTAACAAATACATAATTCCATTTATAAAAACAATGTTGACTTTCGTATGTTCTTTAGGCATCCCTTTATAAAAAAAAATTCGTAAGATCAGAATATAGACCTATTAAACTATTTAATTTCTATCTAAACCATTTTTTCGGTATTACCAAAACCAATTGAAATGTTGCAGTTGATAAAGTTAAAAGTCTATCCTGTACATCTCTAAATCTTTAGAAGTAAGAGAAAAAGGTAAGTATAAAAGGTAAGTATCTCTAGAATTAAGGAAACTGTAAAAAAAAAAAAAAAGTTCATATCATAAATAGAAGCTGCAAAAGGTAAATATCTAAGGTAAGTATAAAAGGTAAGTATAGGTAAGTATTTAAGTTAAGTAAATGAATCCTTCAAATTATATTATCCTAATCAAAAGTCGAAAATTTTAGCCAGAAATTGAATTTTTCGAAAATTTTCGAGTGCTACCTCTTCACACATCATATTCTCCTAATCAAAAGTCGAAAATTTGAGCCAGAATTTTTGAGAAATGAATTTTATGAAAAATTTCGAGCGCTACCTCTTCGCATATCATATTCTCCTAATCAAAAAGTTGAAAATTTTAGCCAGAAATTGAATTTTTCGAAAAATTTCGAGTGCTACCTCTTCACATATCATATTCTCCTAATCAAAAAGTCGAAAAATTTTTAGCCAGAATCTTTGAGAAATGAATTTTACGAAAAATTTCGAGTGCCACCTCTTTGCATATCATATTCTCCTAATGAAAAGTCGAAAATTTAGTCACAAATTGAATTTTACGAAAACTTTCGAGTGCTACCTCTTCACATATCATATTCTCCTAATCAAAAGTCGAAAATTTAGTCACAAATTAAATTTTTCGAAAAATTTCGAGTGCTGACTCTTCGCATATCATGTTCTCCTAATCAAAAGTCGAAAATTTTAGCTAGAAGTTTTGAGAAATGAATTTTACGAAAAATTTCGAGTGCTACCTCTTCACATATCATATTCTCCTAATCAAAAGTCGAAAATTTTAGCCAGAATCTTTGAGAAATGAATTTTACGAAAAATTTCGAGTGCCACCTCTTTGCATATCATATTCTCCTAATCAAAAGTCGAAAATTTAGTCACAAATTAAATTTCAAGAAAAATTTCGAGTGCTACCTCTTCGCATATCATATTCTCCTAATCAAAAGTTGAAAATTTTAGCCAGAAATTGAATTTTTCGAAAAATTTCGAGTGCTACCTCTTCACATATCATATTCTCCTAATCAAAAGTCGAAAATTTGAGCCAGAATCTTTGAGAAATGAATTTTACGAAAAATTTCGAGTGCTACCTCTTCACATATCATGTTCTCCTAATCAAAAGTCGAAAAATCAGAGTTTTGTGAAAATTTCACTATTTAGTATCAGGAAAGTATGATGTAAAAGAAAGTGGCATTAAAATTTTATGGAATTGAAGTTGCTTTCCTATTTACTTACCTATATACTTACCTTTTACTTACCTGTTAGTTGTCTTCCATATACTTACCACCTCCTTGAAATTTTTTTTAAAACCTTTTTTTTCAACATTTTACTTAATTCTAGTTAATAAATTTAATATATATGTCTATTTTATACTTACATTTAACGTAGATATATCTTGAAATTATGATATCTTTTGAACCTGCAACAAAAAGTAACAAGTATATAGAAAAAAATACGATTATTTTAGTATTGATTATATAAAATCAAAATTATTGAAACACAACGAAGTTTCATATATACAAAGATCTCTTATGATTTATAAAAATACTACAATAAATATATATCTATATATCTATTGCTTATGAAAATTGTTAAAGAAGATTTTATTAGAATTTTTAATCAATAATAGAAGCAAGGAACGCAATAAAGCTAGTCAGAAATCAGTGGTATTTGAGTGCTTAAAGTAATGCAATTCCAAAAAAGAAATAGAAATTACGAAAAGGACAGAGAAAGAATGAAAATTAGCTAATCAATACCATTCTTAGAAAATACCGTAATAAGACTGAATTATACAAGGAGGATAAATAATAGAGGACAAGACAAAGGATAAGAATATTTAAGAATTAACTGGTGATGCTATCTCTTGAAAATTAAAGATATTTTTTTAAAAATAGGATAAAGTAGATTAAGAATTAAGTTTCAGTGCCATCTCTTGAGTGTTCCCGAAAAAACTTATAATGCTCGAAAGATGACACCAATGGTTAATTCCAGATCTACTTTATCTTAGTTCTAAAAAAACTGTTTATCTTCAGGAGATGGCGCTGAATGTCAATTCTTACTTATTTCTGTCCTTTTCTTGGCATTTATTCTCCTTGTCTTGTTACGTTTCACGTATGACACTCTGAAGATGGCGCTAATATTTATTCTTTTCTGTCCCTCTCGATCTACCATCTAGTATCCTTATTTGCATCATTTCTAAAAATTCTCTCATTCATTCTATCTAATATCTCAGATTTTTCAATCGGAAATCATATCTTCATTGATATTTTTTATTTTATAAAATACATATAAATATATATCTTTCGCGATATAGGAAAATGTAGCGATAATATATTAATAATTTTTTCCTTCATAGATGGCACAAGGAACAATCTCAGTGGTCTATCTCAAACTTCCTTATCGACGTTAAAAAATTAATTCTATCTAATATTCTGTCTAACAAACACATTCGTAAAATATTCAAAGCACGTACAATCGTATAAAACGTTTAATCTGAAATTAAAAATTCTTTCCGCTACACGAATCATTAATACAATTTCCCCATCCCCACCCATTGTTTCCATTAAAAAAAGAAATCCTCGAAAAAAGAGCTTTTTTACCATCCTTAACCACGAAAAATAGTCCAATCACCTTTTCAACTTCCAGCTAGACGAGGAGAAAAGCGGAAACCGCTTTATCCGCAAAAGTGGAAGCGAAAAGTGGAACGAGGAGTCAAGAGGCGGGTCCGATTCGAATAAAGAGATTCAAAAATCGGATGCTTGGATCGGGTCCAGTTTGTTCGAACGCGAGTTTAGAAGGCAGCCAGGGCCAGATAAAAATCTACCACCTATCCGAACGTAACATTCTCACAGCAATAAACATATTAAGTTGTTCCACGGCCGGTTAAGTATTGATCGGTGGCGCGCGGCTCGGTTTACGGAACGATCGACAACGATTTCCCCGGTCGGGGCACGACTCTCGTATCGAGTAGCGAATCTCGAGTCGGACACCCCGCTGCGCATTTGTTGAGCGGCGACCATTGAACGCCGCGCTACCGAGTGCACTAAAGACACTTCAGGATCTCATTGTGCCGCACAAAACAGTGGCCGTGCTTGCAAAACGCCCGATTGTAACGAAATTCGGCGCAACGTGTTTCTTTGATCGAAATTCTTCTCAATCTTCCATTTTTCGTACGGACTAACTAAATTTAAATCGATAAACGCAAAAATTGAAAGAATCGCAACTATTATTATTGAAGATAAGAATATATTTTCTTCGTTCGATCAAAATGGCGAGAAAACGCATTTCACGCGTTCGACTCCTCGACTATCCGCAGATGCAACATAAATTTCCACGTTCCACTGTCGCAAACCAGCCGAAGGGACAATGAATACTAACGAGCCGCCACGGACATTTGCGACGCGTGCCAAAACATTTTAGGGTCATCGAGGAACTGCAGCTCCTCTCTCTCCCCTGGAACATCGAATTCATGCACACGTCTCGAAATTTCTCCTTCGTTTCGTGTCGAAAGTACACGAATGGCTTATTACCTTAGAAGGACGCCTTTCAATTCCAACTTACCAGGCCACGATCCACCATTTATCCGCAATTTATCACGTGGAAATCTGTCGCGCTCGGATCGATTTCGTCCCGATATGATTGCACACATTGCGGTGGCTCGAGGCGATTTCTTGCATTCTCGATTCGTGAAACGGTTCCAGGAGTGCAGAGATATCTCGATGCCTCCTGGCCCTTCTTTCGCATAGGGCCGCGGATAAAGGGATTATTCATGACAAAATAATACGAGACAGAGAGAGAGAGAGAGCTCGGTTTCGCATTAAAGACACTCGAAGAAGAAGAGGGAGGGGGGATAGCGTTACATTGTGCGCGACGAGTGCACGAGAGAAACACACCCCTGAGAATGTATAAGCCCTCGAGGAGCTCAAATAGGCCCGTATACGTCTCCTCCTCAAAAAATATCGGTTGGAGTTTTCCTACCGCCACGGAATAAATATAAATAAATCGGCCTAGATCGATCGTGAAAAATAGAACGAATAATCCTCCCTTCTGCAGGATTTCTTCCTCCCGTTTAGGATTATTCAGGATATGGAGAATATGCGCGGAATCATTTTTCGTGTCGTTCCATTGTTGTTACACGAGGTTCCAAGGTTATTTCATCCCGGGAATAATAAATAATAATCGGCGAGTGTAAGCCGGGCAATCCGGCTGTTCAGGTTGTTTGGCCCCGATTTCATTGATCGCGATACTTTTCCACGCTTTTCAACCTGATCGCCGCGAATGCGGGGAGGACGGGCTGAGGTACCTGTTCGATCTGTGTGATGCCCGAGCGAAGCCGATTTGTCAAATCTCTGACGTTCGCATTCAAATTTGAAGAGATTGGGAAAGGACGAGGGGGAAAAGGAAATTTTTATAGAACGTTTTTATTTTATTTTTAATTGCATCGCTTCGGCTCGAGAAATCGTTGCCTCGAGGGGGAAAGAAGAACCAAGCGTTGTTTCCAAGCGTTGAAAAACTCGGTCGAAAAAATAGATCGACAAATGGACGGTATATCTTTTGTGGAAAAGCTATAACTGGCCACCGACACGGAAAGATCGAATCTGTGCGTCACCTCGTGCTGTTGCCGAGGTAAAAAAAAGAAAGAAAAAGAGGAAAAAGCAGATAGCATCGAATTTGTCCAAACAGTGGGGGTTGTTGTCGAAGACGCAGGGGTTGCGTAACGTACACGGGGCGAAGGGGCAGCTCTTGGAAGGAAAATTTGTAATTGAAATCGAGTTTTCAACGTGGCGAATAATTTCTCAAAAATTCTTCTTCGAGAATCGAAGAATAGAAAATTTTGGAAATAACGCAAGTTGTTAAGTAACAAAGGGATTAGAAAAGATGGCGAAGAGCAAGAGAGGACATTCGAAAACTAGACTTTTCGACTCTCCCTCCGCTCCCTGAAACTTTCCCTAATTTTTTCGACACGCAGCCGGTTTAGACAAAAATCCAAAGTGCACTTAACACGGGTGCTCGAGCTCGATTTTTTGGGGGAGATCGAGCGAGGTTATTGTAGCACACACCGGGAAGAAAGGGCACTTGACACCGGCCCTGGGAAACTCTATCACCCTAAACGTCCAAATTCTCGCCGCCAAACGTCTCTTTAACACAGCAACTCGCGACACGGGAAATAATACTGCTACTAAATTCTCAAATTCCGAGAGAAAGAAACGAATTCTGTCCCAACGCAATAAAGGAAATCCCGTTTGCACCCGATAAACCTGGCTGCGAATAATTCACGGCAATTTGGCTCATCTTTCGGGGCATAATCACTTAACGACCAGTCTGCGGCTCCCTTTAAGTCCAACAATCCTTAACAACAGTCCACACCCCACCTCTCTCTCTCTCTCTCTGAGTGCAAGACTTACCTAGCCGTTCACGAGCGGCGTCAAATATTTTCTTCAAGGCTCTTCGCGAGGGCTTCCTTCGAGCAAAGCAGAAGAAGAAGAAGAAGAAATTGAAGAAACGACGAATGCCAGAGAAAAAAGAGGAGAAGAGGAAAGGTTGGTCTCGACACTGCTCGGGGCAGATTCGGCGGCTGTTGCAATGAAGATCGGCGGAAGGAGCGTGGCCCGTCCATAGGAGAGGATCGGTGGTCCGGTTTTAAAGGAGCGTGGAGATGGAGGGAGGAGAGGGCGTGCCCGGTTTCCTTAAGTGTAGGTCAGTTATACCAGACCGACCGGTACGATCGGCTGCCAATTAAATGGCAACCTGTTATTTCCCGACACGCTTCTGATCGGCGCGCGGTGGAAGGAAGGAAGGAAGGTCGTTCTCGCCTTCCTCTGCGAAACGAGCGCCGTTTCGGGGGATGATGTGGGCCTAGATAGAGATCTCAATCGCG